TGCCAGAGTGTTACCATGTCAACATAATTTCTGCGAGCAGTGTCTCTGTAAACTAGGAACACACAAACAGCAGATAACATGCCCAGTATGTCGCACTAGTCACGATATCTGTCGAGAAATCAGCTTTCCCAAAAGTCTAGTGATCAATTCACTCACTGACGTGTTGGAAACACATGACAGGCAAAGACTAGGTAAAAATTTATGCGATGGATGTGAGGAGAACATGGTACACGGCAGGTGTCTGGAGTGCCAGCTAAACATCTGTGAAAGCTGTACAAAGACTCATGGGAAGCTGAAGCTGACTAAAAGCCATGCAATCATGAAGATTGGTGAATATGAAGATGCGATGGGACGAGATCCAGACCTTGAGAAAGCGTACATTTACTGTGACAAACACGATGATGTTCGGCTGAAGTTGTACTGTAAGCCATGTCATCAACCAATATGCACTGAATGTGCGGTGTTCGACCACCATCAACATCAATATGTACGCGTGGAAGACGCTAAGGTGGAAGCAATAGCTGAACTCAAAGAACATGATAATGAATTAAATAAAATAGCAAAAGAGCTTCAAGCTGGGAAAGAGAAATTACAGACAGATAGAATCGTTTTACAAGATGTTTACAACGAAGAAATCACAAAACTAAACAGACAATCTGAACGGGTTTTAGAGAAACTGCGAGAAAAACTGAAGAACATTGAAGTTAAGGTGCAGGAGACGACTAAAGCTCAGTCCAAGTATTTGAAAGCAGAGTATGACGCCAAACAGAAGAGTATCCAAACGCAGATAGATGACGTCACATTGACTGAACAGAGGGTTTTGGAAACCCAGGCCTCTCTGGTGAAGGTTGTCAAGGAAACACATGATGTTCGACTGGTACAGATGAAGAAGAGGATCGCTGCAAATGTTGTAGAGATGCAACAGCAATGCGGAAGTCACAATGTAGAACAACTAGAATTCCTACAACTAGATTGTAAAGATACACTAGAATCCGCGTTCAATGATTCAGATATTTCTATTGGTTGCTATAAAAAACAGATAGTAACAAGTATGCAAAACGGAACTTCAGACAAGGATTCCAAACCAGATCGTACACCAACCAATACTGGTGAAAGTACTGAAACACAAATAACAACACCAAAACCTGTAGACTTCGCAACGCAAAAAACGCTTATTTCAGATGTGCTAAAGGGCCCTTGGAAGGAAGGAATCACGTGCTACTTACTCAATGTCCAATGGTTTAAAAAATGGAAAACGTACGTGAGATACCATTCCAAGTCAGTGCGTAATAATGCCAAAGAAGCGTATTTTCCGGGTCCTATTGACAATTCAAGTCTTTTTGAGAACGGTAAGGAAATCGTTCTCAAAAGTATTTGTCCCGGCATTCATTATGTTCTTATACCGGAAGTTGGGTGGGATTTGTTTGTAAGCTGGTATGGTCTTGTTGATGGACAAAATCCTATTATCAATTTGTTTGAGTGAAACTGCTTAAAAACAATTTCTAGTAGTAGCGTTCATGCACAGCTCCTTGGCACAGGCTAAGAGGTCAAATACCTTAGCCTGTGCTAAGAAATGTTGGCACAGACTAAGAAATGCTAAGTGCAGATTAAATCTAGCACGTTTTTAAAATCTGGTCCAGATCCTTAGCATGGGCTAACGAAGTGTGCGTCAAAACTTAGCTCGGGCTAAGCGCTCAACACGCCATTATATTTAATGTTCATTTTACTATTATATTCATAACCGTTCATTTCGGTGAGCCGTTTACTTTATGACAGTAAACGCGAACACACATAGAGAGATTCTTCTTATAGCATGGAAGGTACTAACGGTTAGAGACTCTGTGCTACTTCCCGTTATTCTGCAATCTACACTTTCTAAATTTTCTTTGGTATTGTTTTATAAGGCAGTAGAACTAACATGTATACCTTTCTAGTTACTGTACTAATAATCATTGTTAAAATGACTATGAGAGATTTATGTGATTCTTAACAGATTTGGGCGTTCCTTAGCCCCCTGCTAAACACTGTTTCCTCCCGTGCGTGAACTATCTGATATACACAAATATGAGATTCGCTTAAATATTTGTACATACTTGGTACAGCGTGAAAACTACTAGTGTTACATTCAGAAGATTGTAATTACTTGGACTTGAAATTGAAATATTTGAATGACTGTGAATATGCAATAATGTCTACATTATATTTGACCAGCATATTACTCTTCCATAACGATAAAAATTTCCAAGAATCGAGGCAAATTACAGATTGTGTAAAAAATGCAACACAGGTACTGTAGAAGATGAAAAACATTTCATCCTTGACTGTTGCTTCTTCACTCAAGAAAGAAATACCCTCTTAGAAGATTGTAAATTAGAAATGTGCAGTACAACTAACCGAAATTTAATATTCACTTGCATCATAAATAGTATTACTGCACTTGCAAAATACTTAAAAAACACAATTTATAAAACCTAATTGTAATACGTATTTTATATATACCCTTTAGTTTGTTTTGTTTGTTATTTTGAAACTTTTGTTGTTTTTGTTTATTTGTGTTTGTTTTTTCTGATCTGTATCCTTACCATACAGCACCACCGATGGTGCAGTTGTGTAATAAAGTTATTGTTAAGATAAAAACGTGTTCGATTTGGTCCAAATAAAACAAACGCAAAATCAGGATACACTGATATTATTAGTATGATATAGTATTATCATGCGGGAAAAATGAATGTCTTTTATATACAATGTATTTAAAAAGGTTTGGTTAAAACGATATACCAACTATCAACTACTATATCTACATCCAATCGTGTCTGTTTCTGGGTCACACAAGATGCGTTCATTATTTTCTGATTGGTGTCGGTTTGAATGGCGTTGAAATATATGCTACACGTGCACACAATTCAAATAGTTACGTCATACAATTGTGTACAAAGTGGTATTTTAACATTTTAAATTGGAATTTACTTCAATCATTAACCCTATACGAGTATCTATTTCATATAATAATAATAATAATAATAATAATAATAATAATAATAATAATAATAATAATAATAATAATAATAATAATAATAATAATAATAATAATAATAATAATAATAATAATAATAATAATAATAATAATAATAAATACAAGTTTATATAGCGCCTAGTATCCATCGCAGTGATGCCCAATGATGCTTAGTTTCACAGATAGGCTTGCTGAAACAGGTGAGATTTGAGTTTGGTTTTGAAGATGTTAACATTTGGTGCAGAACAGATGTCATTTGGTAATTGATTCCATAAAGATGGCGAGGAATGGGCGAATGACCGGTCACCATAATTCTTGAGACGAGTCCGAGATATTATGTGTTTCATAGTCACTCATTTGAAAACCTTAGTTGAATTAGCATATACACAAGGCAGAATTTGACACGCCTAAACAATCTGCCAACAATACTGATCTGTGATTGGCCTGACTGTCAGATGACACGTGATTAATTAATAATTTTCCATTGGATAGATTTGTGTTCAGTGTCACGTGGTATTGAGCTGAGCAATAATTGTGGTCGTGTATTTATAACGTCGACAAAGGAATCTTGTTAGCGTTTGTTTGTTTGTTGTTATGTTTGTAGTCATTGGATGAAAGAAAGTGAAGAAATCCTCAGATCTTATGAAATATGATAATAAAGCTAATTAAGGAGTGTCCATGTATGTTATTATTATTATGACGTAAGCAACAGATTTTCTTTCCCCTGCCAACTCAACTAAGTCGCATACGACTGTAGTTTGTAAACACAATAAATACCTGTTTCCGCTGATCCCATCAACCTTTTTCGGTTTTCACTGTATGCAAACTTGTAATCCTTTCACCGTGATTTTCAAAACACGCATGCGTATCGTTTGGAAAGTCACGTGACCTTTAGGTGGACCCGACCTTTAGTTGTAAACACTGAGTACACAAATGATCTATTTTATACCATAGACCCTCTGTTAGAGGGTAATATATAACTCAGGTGTTTTCTATTTATAGTACCATATATGTGTTTATCTTGACTGACGACAAATGTGTTTCTATCCAACTTTCAATGAAAACCCATAATTTTGAACTACCACCTAGATATGCAACATAGATTAATGGTCGAAGGTTCCCCAGATTTACTGATATTGAATCCTTCAAGGGATGAACCATCAGAAACTCTGGGGAGCAAATTTAAAAAACAAATTGCACGGGAGACATATATCCTGTATGGATCAATAAGAGACACACAATTTTGATCGCATAAATCGTAGAAATACATTTCACACCGTGGGAAACAAAATTACAGTAAATTCGTCATGAGCACAAAACTAAGAGAAGAAAAACATATTTTTCTGTCATCGCTCCCCGGAGTTCCTAAGGTCCATCCCTAATTACATGATGCCATGATACTATCATGCAATTAAGTCTATCTAAATCTATCACACCAGCAACTCAGTAATTCGTGCAAGATTAATCTGATAAAAAGCTTCCTCACGATATCCATATCTTCACAACACTACATGTCAACATGGAACTGTAGTGCAGTAACTCGCCCCGTAACTCGCTCACCGTGGCAGCAATGAACTCCTGGTTTGGCGTCCGGAAAAAAACGCCTTGTCGTGTCCATCATAGTGATAACATAATTGCAAACTCTAATCTCGTTCTGATCGTTTAGTAATTCTACCTGCTTCACGGGTAAAGGCGTGTCGGCTCCTTCAAGTTAGTGATCAATTGCATAGTTTTCCAGCAACTCCAAACTCTCGCCAATACACCGTTTACATTCTCTGACGTGACCTTAAAAGAACACGTTTGTCGTTGTTAGTCATTAAACTAATAACAGGGTTTAAAGTACACGCCAGTAATTGATTAGCATTTGTAAATATTTAATTTGTCTAGCATAGTCACTAATTCAATTTAATGTTCAACCTGCTTATCAGTGTGGACGATATACTAGTACCATAAATAGTACAGATATAACGTCATAAAACGACACACCATGGCGGCCAAACTTCTTGACGAAATCGACGAGCATTACTTGACGTGCCAGATATGTCTAGAAAGGTTCATAAACGCCAGGGTGTTGCCGTGTCAGCATAGTTTCTGTGAGGACTGTTTAACCAGGTTAGTAACTCGGACAGGGGTGAAGATTCACTGCCCCTCGTGTAGATCAGAATTTGATCTACAAGATGGCGTCAAGTGTTTACCCAGGAACCTTCAACTCAACGCACTCACGGACCTCCTTCAACAACGTGATATTGCTGATAGATCCACTGGTCAGTTCCTCTGTGAAGGTTGCGAGAACAGACCTTCTATCAACCACTGTATCCAGTGTGCTATCAAAATATGCGATAACTGTGCAAAAACACATCAACGGGTTCGATTGACCAGTGGTCATACGTTGATTGATCTCGGGCCACCTTGTAGCAAACACAACGAACATCCACTAGATCGCTACTGTACGAAATGTTCTAAGCAAATATGCAATATGTGTGTTGAGATTGAACACCAGAAACACGAGTGTCTCCCGATACAAGACGCCTGGCACAAAAAAGTTGCAGACACAAGTGACACTTACAAGTCATTGCATAAAAAGCAACAAGAGGTGCAGACTGTCACCAATAACATACACTCAGCATTGGTCACCCTGAAAGATCTGTATGACGCCGAAAACACAAGACTGGAGTCACACTCTAAGAGAGTAATTAACCGACTACGAGAAACAATGAAACAGATTGAGCAAAATATACACGAAGACACAGTGACGAAAAGCAGGTATTTGCAAACAGAGTACGAGTCCAGACAGGGGTACTTCCACGGAATTCTTTCTGCCAAGACATCGTTGAAGGAAAAAATCGACGTGGCCATGTCATCACTGAAGACGGTCACGGAAAATGGGGGTGGGCGTGAAGTTTTTAAAATGGATAAGTTAGATACAGAGAAACTCTTATCCGTCGAAGATAATTTAATTGAAGTTGTGAAATTCCCCAAACTTTTTTATACCGATGATATGAATAAAATGCTAATGAGTGACAATTTCAAACATATGTCAATAGGAAATTACAGAACACGTGCAGTTAAAGTCGGCTACCGTCCACAGCAGAGGAAAGTATCGAAGATTGTCGAAACGCATATACATGTCGAGGAAGTGCAAGAAGTGGAGACATCTCAAGTTGCATCTTTAAAATTACAAAATGTCATCATCAGAGATATTTTAAAAACTCCGCTGAGGAAAGGTGATAGGCGGTATATGCTGTCAACCCATTGGTTCAAACTATGGAATCAGTATGTTGCGCATGGTCAGGACGATGACCAATCACAGCTCGCACAGCATCCTGGGCCTGTTGACAACGCAACATTATTCGTCAACCCAGGGGAGAACGTTTTGAAATCAAATTTAGCTGATAAAATTGATTACATTCTTATTCCGTATGAAGCATGGGACAAGTTGGTCCTCTGGTACAACGCAGTTGATGGCCAAGTTCCTCTCGCCAGAACTGTCAGCCACGTGGGAGTGACAGGAACTAGACTCTGTGCCGAAGACATGTAAAGCGAGTATATGCCGCGGATGTACACCAGACTAAACGGACATTGTACAGGGCATTAACGACTTTATATGTGTAGATTGTCGTAAAGCATCGTCGGAGGAATACTTCAAACTCAAATACAATCGATTTTCCATCATATACGTCCCCCACTAATTCGTTTTGAAAACATCCACATGTTTGAGCAGCAAACTGAGTTTACAGTTTTCGCGTGTGGGTGGAGAAATTGTCTACAGGTTATTGCGTGGGGTCCGCATTTGAGAGGGTTAAAATATTTTGATGAGAGGGCGGGGAGGTTTTTGCGCATTTGGGTAGGTATATTATTCGTGTAGCAGGCATTTTGCGTTAAGCCACAAACAATCTTGAAATTCACTTGGATATATGCATTTTGTTTGTCAATGTTTAATCGGCACACCACGTCCGTTCTCTTTACCCATCATATAACGTCTAGTAGGTTATCACTTACCGTCTGTGAGTGCATTAGGGAATTTTGCGGCGGACTTGGTCACGCAAAGCAGTGATTAAGGTGCTTACGAACGTAGGGATTACAAAAGGTTTGTCACACTACAAGCCGGGTAACACTACATCTATAATTTTCAAGAGCAGAAGCTGTAGTAGGAAGGGGGAGTTGAAAATAAAAAGGCAGGGCAGATTTTTAATTCCATAGTGGGAAGGTACTTTCTGAATTGAGTAGAGGGGGGCATAACAGAATAGCTTTAGGGTTACCCTATTTTTTGCGAATGGCATTTAAAATTGATAGAAACAACTACATAAACAATATCTAGAAATTTGAATGAAAATGTGTAAAATCGCTCGTTGGCTGCTTTTATAAAATTGTATCTTTTACGTGTGGTGAATATCAGCAATGTTAAATCCACGGATTTAAGCGAATGAAACCCCGTTTATTTGACGTATTATTAAGAGGGAGATTTTACTGTCTTACGGCAAAACTGTTGTTGCGCTATGCTCAGATCATACTTAGCTTGACTCGGTCTAATAGCTTTAGACACAACACACATCCATTTGGTATTTCCCAAACATATTACATGTATATGGATATTAGCAATGTTCGAATAAATATTTTGTATTAGCCGTGAACAAGCACGGTTAAGATTGACATGGACTGCAATTACCATTTTCATAAAGCCGAGATATTTTCAAAACATGAAGACACGATTGGTTGAAAGCAGCACCACTACCTGGCAAACTCTGTGTCTTGGTCATTTGAACGCGCGTCATCCAAACAAAATTCCATATCCTATTTGAGTTACACAAAACAAAACTGCCTATTAAACCGAATGTGATGAAATTGTTATTGCTGTATTCTTTTCAGATAAATACATAATCCATAGAGAAAATAAGTGCCATTAATAGTTTACATATCATTGTACGCAGAACCCAAATTATACCAGCCCCATAAAGTTGTTAATAATTTGGTAAAATTAGAGTTAAAACAATTCTCTATCTGAAATATATGTGCATGTTAGCGCCCCCCCCCCCCCAATGAAACGGGAATCAGTTGTTTACTTAGGGTACAAGCAACCAATCTTGCCAAGTCGTAGAATTGCGTAAACAATTTGTGTTTTTGGAAGTAATTAACTTTTTCACAAACTGTAGTGTTAAAAAGTTGCCAAATATATGTTGTGTTGGGACAGAAATGTCTTAAACATGTACTACACCAAGAAAGAATGTAGTTGAGTTGAGATACATCTGTCCATAATGTGCATCTGCTGATTTAAATGTTAACAGTATTGAGAAAAGATGCATTCATTTATACGTAACCCTGATAAAAAAAATCATGCAAAAATAACATACACGCTTTTATTTTGAATTCAATAACTTGAAGCTGTTACAAAGGTGATTCATATTACAAATGTTTTATTTTTAATGTCGTATTTGGTATCGAAATCAGCTTGTAATTAAGTATACATACTGTAATATTTTTTCATTCATTTTTTCAGATAAAAAATAACAATTTAGTATTATATACAAGTCACAATTGAAAACATTTCAAACTACAGTAATCTACAAATTGCTTGTAATACTTTTTATATCATGTTTTTATTTTATGTCACTTACAACAAGATTGGGAGATAGTGACGGAAACCTGCATTGGATGTTCTGTCACCAAACAATAATATTTTTTTTTACTCGATATCAAACTTGTGTTAAAACATACATAACACATTTCTTCTTTTTTTTCAATCAATAATATTTTTGTTTTGTTTTAATTCAGTATGAATGAATAATGCCAATAAAGTTATTACTATAAATCATTCTTTCTATAAAACAATACAATGTTACATGTTATATAAAACGCAGTCATAATTTAGTTGAACGTTGAGGGCGATATGCGAGCTTACTGAAGTACACATGATTCCTTGGGCGGCGGATTGGACAGCGACAAAATGCTACGTGGATGAAACCGTCCCAGACTGTACTGTTTAGTTTTGACTTGCTGCATAGTATGTTGTACAGTTCCGTCTGACATAAATCCTGAATACCTCAGTGTCTTTCCTGGAAGAAGCAAATCTTTAGTTAAAGTGAAAGTGGGCGAGGACTCAGTCCGTTGTGATGTTTCTCTCACGCTGTGGCCAACAATCGGGTTGTTGTTAGTGGCTTCACTTTCTCTTTCTGATCTAAACTTTGTCTCACATGCGACGACTTTGTCAATGGTGGTAAATGATTCTTCGACAGAAACGTGTCTGTAATTTTTCACTTTCTCGCTCAACTCTCTTGCCATCGACAGATTCTGTATGATGCCTTCCTCCGCCAATTCTATCTGCGTCAGCTCTCGATGCATGACGTCACACGTCTCCTGGTGCTCGGCATCCAGGTATTTCGCCTTCGCCTCCGCATCTTTCTCCAAGTGATGAATTATTTCATTCATCGTCTCACGGATCAGCGTCTTCTTCTTCTCCAGATCCAGGGCTATCTGGTTCTTCTGAGAGTCGTACACAGAAGCTACCTTCTTGGTCAGGACTTCTACATTAGATTTCTTATCGCTGATATCGTGCAATCGATCCAACAATGTGCTTTCAGTTGACCGAATTTTAGTTGATAAATAATCAGTAGTTTTCTGTAACGGGAAGCATTGATGCGGAGGGTGTCCATGGCGCATAACAACGCATTTAACACAGACGGCGATCCCACAAGTGTTGCAATGGAAACTTGACGGGGCGCCGATGTGATGTTTGCACGTTTCGAGCGCTACTGTTCCATTGCCAATGATCGCCAACATATACTCATCTAAAGTCATCTGCATATGAGTTTCCGTCAGTTTGACTTTTCTGTGAGTATTAGAGCAAGGGTGACAAAGGAACGATGAACATTCTACACACCGATTTCCCGCAATTGTTTCTTCACACGCATCACAAGAAAGGGTGTCTTCGTTCGTAACGTTTCCGTGCTCTCTGTTTTCTAACAGTTCTGCCAATCCGTTCATCTGATAATTCTTGGGAAGACTGGCAATCCCGGAAGACGACGGTAACAGGTGCAATTTCCGGCATGTTGGGCACTTCAACGTCCTATCGCCGCCACTGACTTGAACCAGGCAGTTGAAACAAAAGTGATGCTGGCACGGCAGAACCCTGGCGTCTTTAAATCGCTCCATGCATATTGGACAAGTTAGGTGTTCATCGCTAATTTGCTGTAGAAGTAACGAGTCCGACATCTTGGCTGCCATGATAATCAGTGGAATTTCTGACGACCTCAGGCTGCTGTGGAAACATCAACTTCCGGGTCCACCGGTTCAGATTTGTGTGTATAATGCCCTCAACGGTAAATATAGGTAGTTCGGTTGTCTGTAATTAGGGTAGGAATTAGGGTAACGTGACACAGACAAAAAGTTGTACTATTTTGTCAAGATAAAATTAAAGCAAACAGCTATTCTCATGAATTTCCTGGTATAGTTCCAGTTAATTATATTATTAGTATTAGTATTAGTATTAGTATTAGTATTAGTATTAGTATTAGTATTAGTATTAGTAATCACGTGAATATAATTAAACCAACAGGCAACTTAAAGTGACTTCAAATTAATTTAGAAATTGCCAAATCGTAATTAATTCTTAAAGCGGCAATAGCTGTGATTTTGATTTTTTTTGTTTAAATATAACCACATAAAAACTACAAAATCTTACCGAAATATCGTTTAAGATATAATTGCATAGGGAAAGTGACAGCCGAGTACACAAAGCTAATCTCACGTGAAAATCGATGTGAAAACTAATATTCGAGTAGTTGCCTTTTTGTTGAAATGGGAACCGTACGATGCACGATGTGCACTATTATGAGAAATATCACGTAACAAATCTTCAGTGAGAGGACTGAGAAAAAAATCGATATTGACGCTTTAAACCTCAAATCTATTTTCAGAGATTGCGGAAGTCACAGCCTCCGTGGTAACCATTATACCCAGCTTCGTTATTATTACTTCATAGTATCTATAAAATACACTATGCCACAATTCCCGAGTTTCGAGTTCATAATGGCTGCTTATTTGCATACCTAATTCAAGGGCGCACTGCGAGTGGGGTTGTTTTTGAATCATCACCGAGGCGTAAATTGAATAGTTCCAAAAATGTCTCCAGTATAATCTTACTTGGCTGTGTATTCTATTTGCATTTACCAATCATATTTTCATCACAATAAAAATGCATACATTACAGCTAAAGAGACAGACAATTGCAGATATCAGCCGCAACCATTTGACTAGTAAGTTATAATATAGGCAAACATATGAAAGTTTTTTATCTACCCTATCACTCTCGCAACATGAATTCCGAGACTGGCTCAACTAGTTCAGAAAAACCACTGTTCATTGTAATAAATTTGTCGAACATTTATATGGGCTATCGGAGTAGACGGTTTCTGAATAAAAAAAATAGTACAATCAACAATACACATGATCTACGGGTAGGATAATTTAAATGACAACGGACTATATTTGTTTATTTGGGGGTGACTGGATGATTGATGGAATAAATTGTAATGTAGTTAAGTATCATCGTTATCCTTGAATACCATCTGTGATACGTCACATGTCAATGAACTACCCACACTTCCTATGTAATCAATATCTGTACTTTTAAGTAATAAAGTTACTTCCCATTTAGTAGTCAACTGAATAACACCGTGTCTCGTCTATTCCTTACTGTTACCATACAAACATTACATCAAAGACGCGCTGAAAATGTTGGAGGAAGGCGCGACATTGCACTTTTTAACGTTACTGTACAACTATTGAGACAGTTCGTCTAATAGTGTCTAAAAAGTTAGACATCTCTTTTTTGGGTAACTATTGGGGCAGTTCGTTTTTCTCCGATATTATCGATAATATCGATATTATCGTCTAATTATGTCTGAAAATGTCTAAGTTAGACATCTCTCTTTGGGTAACTGTGATGAATTTGTTTTTGCGTATCTGTTGTCCGACTTATTTAGTTGATTACTAGCGAATGGCTGTGTTATGTCTGTCATCGTTTCCACCCATTTGAGTTCTGGACGGAACTCGACTCAGTGATTTGGAACTAATTACGAGATAACCGTCGCTATTCGGACTACTATTTCTGACAGTTGGTATTCGTAGTTATTAATGTAGTGAACGATTAATCAGAAGATATGACGTGTTCAGTACTTAGTTTGATTGGCTATGTGCAAGTTGAATGTGTGAAGGTTACGCCTTACAGTGTTTAAACTGCTTTGTAATTGGTTAAGTTTTGATATGTAATAAACAGTCCAAGCTTGGTCACAGAGAGAGGGAGAGAGAGAGAGAGAGCACCACGAGGCGAAAGAGTCTTGGTCCGTGCTGGGGAGAGACCCCGGCGAGGCAGTTCGCCTCGAGGCGTTCTCGATGTGGCGAAAGACTAGCTATTGAACCGTATTTCGTTGTGTGTGTCTTATTTGACTCAAAACGTTTAAGTGACTTTCCCGATCCCGTACCTCAAGGGGACGAGATATAGAGACGAGACGATATTCCCCCCTGACACGTTGGAGAACCCCAGAGGAGAAGATTTTACCCCTGATATAACTATTGGGGCAGTTAGTTTTTCTCCGATATTATCGATCTTATCGTCTAATAATGTCTAAAAATGTCTAAGTTAGACTTCTCTGTCAACATTTCATTAGATTTTATTATAATGTCGGAGCAAAACGATCTTCCCCAATAGTGGCCTAGATGTAGGTGTATAACTTAGAATTTATTAGACATTATTAGACGATAATATCGGTGAAAAACGAACATCCGTAACACGAGTTAATGATGTCAACATTTCATTAGATTGTATTTGGCGATAATATCCGATAATGATTTATATGACATTGTCGAGCCCTCGTGGAATTTTAAAGAGTAGAGGACTATTTGTACAGGAGATGTTCCAGTGGGGACTTGTTAAAATTGTTCGATTGGCATATCGTAATCCTTTATTAGAACAGAACATGTTCTATATTTAACAAAACAAAACGTTGCTATGTTTCTATATAGGCATACAACGAACTCGAACCAAAAGAAGTCGTCCGATACAAACGACCTGCGTCCTTGAAAATCGAGTCTTATCGCCCTCGTGTTTCTGAGCAAAAAAATGTCTAGGCCAAAAGACAACCGAATTTCGCCCATTCTTTCCAGTGGTTAGATAGGTTATTTTTATTAAGAGCGCCGGGGGAATCAAAATTTGCGATGTGAATCACTTCGGCGACGAAAAATCAGTGATAGGGGTGAGAGTAATTTCGACCCGCCAATCGATATTGGCAAGATTCAGGGCACGCAGTGACCAGTGAGGCTCAAAACTACACAAACCTTTACGAATTTCAATGAAAGACATTAATTCATTTTTATTACAGACTCCAGGAGAACAAATATACATTATGTAATCCAGTCTGGTGAGGGAATAATCAAAGATAAATAAACAAATAACGCAACATTTTATTTCCCGTTTTATAAAAACTCATGCTGGTGAAATCTGTTGTATTTTATACCTATCTATATACTAGTAATTCTTTCGTTGAAAACATGCTTAGGCACACAGTCCCTCTATCACTATAGAGGGACTGTGTTAGGCAGAACATTGGGAAACCATGGAACGTAATTTACGGCACGTGACTAAAAAACAATTCAATGCATGTGAATTTCCCAATGAACGTTTCAATATTCTGGTTATCTCTGGTGTGACTGCAATCTTTGATTCAGGTATAAAAAAAAACTGTTTCAAATCGTAGCATAAAGTACGGGACTGAACCTTTGGGGAACCGTGACGGAAATTACTCGCTTTTGAGGCTGTCATAATAAGCCTGAGCGAGAGTGAAAACCGTGTTTATGCTAGAAAAAATGAAGACCTTGAACGTACTTTATGTACTTTAGTACAAAGTCATATTTTGTTTGATTGCCTAACGCGCTGCAAGTTAGTGTGCACATACCTAAGCGGTCGTTCCTCAGCAAATGATTTAGCCCACTGGCAAGCATTTTCCGTGTCAAATTTGCAAAACTTTCCGTTTTTACGCAATCTGGGAAGTCCAAATTACTAAACGAAGTACAGGACGACGAAGCAGAAATATCCACGAACCAACACATACCAAAAATTATATCTCAAAAGCAAATATTCGTGGTATATTTCAACTCTAACCGGACCGGAAGTGAGAATGTACTCTAAATATCAAAACATATTGTAATATAAGGTAGTAATGAAAACAAATTCATGCCTTTATAACTGTACACTGGAGTCGGTAAAAGCATATTTATTTATATAAGTATACTTTTGTAATAAATTCAAAACCCAGCTACATTTGGTATCAGTCTCATTCAAATCTAAACCAGACGTTTGGATTGGCTAGACAGACGTCTTTCTACCATTCCGCGAAGCGATCGCCAGTCACACAGAAATGAGAACAGCGTTTTGATTGGCTAGACAGACGTCTTCCACCATTCCGCGAAGCGCTCGCCCATCAGTCACACAGAAATAAGAACAGCGTTTGGATTGGCTAGACAGACGTCTTCCACCATTCCGCGAAGCGCTCGCCCATCAGTCACACAGAAATGAGAACAGCGTTTTGATTGGCTAGACAGATGTCTTTCACCATTCCGCGAAGCGCTCGCCCATCAGTCACACAGAAATGAGAACAGCGTTTGGATTGGCTAGACAGACATCTTCCACCATTCCGTGAGTCACACAGAAATGAGAACAGCGTTTGTCACTGCATTCGCTCATAGAAAATATAACTGCCGTTTAAGTTTATAAATATTGAGCTTTGTTGATAATTTGCAACATTTGCTCTCTTCGGTTTACAATTTTATGTTCAGACGATCAGTATTTTCTTAAATATACATAATTTTAGAAATGCGAGAAACCTGTCTAATTGTACTATTGACTTGTATGATATGGCGATGACGTAGTCTTCAGTGGCATTTTCATCTGAGCGACCCTGGGTTGTATAACCTTATGCCTAGTATTAACTAGTAATTGAGGGACAAAACAAATGAAACAGTGGGATTTATGATATAACGTGTTTTTTAAAAGAAAGTTTATATACGAATATGTCAACTTTTGTTTTACAAAATAAACCTTATTAAAGTTGTTGACATTTTTTTAAACATAATAATTATAATTTTAGAAAAATAAAAAAGAATTCCAACAAGCATGACACGAATTAATGAAGTCAACATTTAACAAATGAAATAGAACTGTGTGTGTACTCCTCGGTGCATTGATTGCATGATTCATTTCTATCATATTTTCAAAGTATATATATAAATTACTAACTATGTTCCATTTCGAACACATGTAATCGCTCAAAGACTGATATTACTGTGCAAATTGGAATATATAAAATAATAAATAAATAAATAAATAAATATTAAATATATTTTACGAAGAACTGTTTGTCAATCATATGCACCATGGGTAACGTGTGAATTAGAATGTATTGATTTATTTGCTTGTTCGATTGTTTCGAAACCAGTCCTCCCATTGCGGTAACAATTAATATATCTTAGTACCTTTAATGGACGTAGCGTAGTGGTAGGTACCATGGTTCGATCTGTACAAGCATCCACATACAAACGCGCCCTCTGGCGATTGAAAACTGTCGACCAATCACAAAAACAATGCGCAGACTCAATGCGCAAACGACCATAACAATCTTGAAGAAATGAAGAAGTGCTGTAGAAGTTGAGGTGCAAAACAACGCAATTGTAGGATTTTCGTGAGGAGTTTGGACAGGCTTGCTGGATTTCCGTCCTAAATATGGTAGTCAGGTATACCACAACCTTCCTTTGATTGATCTAGAGAGGATAACTGAACGAAACACGTAGACGAAAGCTTGACAGTCGGTTGCCATTTGCAGGTAGGTCGACATAAAGTTATGCTCTGTTTTGTTTAGCGGACACCTGTCACAGGCTGTGAAACTCTGACGATTTTCGCACCCCAACAACAGCTATATTCACATCTGGCCATTACAAGTCGCAACATGTGTAGTCGTGTTTCATATACGGCTATGTACATTAAGAATTTTTTTTGTAGAGACTGGATTTTTCCCAGCAGTGTGTCACTGTAAATTTTACGACAACAAAGTTTATAGGTCAACCAACACCAGGAACGCCAGCAAATCCACAATCTGATCTATACAATGAGACAGATCGTTGCACACTCTGATCATTTCTAACCTTACTTATGATTAGTAAACGTATTTAGTTGACTGTGTGGTACAGGTGGAATATCCCATGGGAATCGAGACACGTTTAAGTGACCAACTTTGCTGAGCGATCGGATATCGAGGAGTGTGTGTATGCTTCATAACCATATCAACGGCTATTGTAAACGTGATGGCAATGGGTTTAACCTGAAACGTGTCCTCACTAATACATTCCCACCGGGACAACACCGTAGTTATGTACCCTTGCAAACAGTTATAATGTAAATCCTAAAGCTTTGGAAAGTTGTATATTTTCCTCTGAGAAGAAAAAGAAAGCGACTCTCCCACTTTGAGTGTGCATATTTGATTTCGGACCGACCTTGCCTTTACTCATGTCTGTGTTGGTAGAATGTCAGTGCTTGAACTGTTGACAAGCATGCTTGTTTGGAGACCATAGTATTTTTCAATTAATCACCAGGACACATTAGAGACGACATGAATATTCAAGCACAGGTGTGAATGCATGAAGCGTAGTCTTTCATATAAATTCTTAAAGGTATGTGAAAGAACCCAGAGATTGTGTTTAAAGTTCACCCACATAGCTGTATTATAAATTCCATTTTTTTTTGCCCCAGTTAAGTTTTGTTATGTCATGAAAAATGCCTTGTATCAGGTAGGTGCTGTGCACGTACAATTCATATGATTTAATCTGAGATATTGTCAAAGCATTGACAGTGGATGAAACCGTGAGCCATATTTGTAAAGTTCATTCAGTCGCTGTGTATGTTTTATTTCTGAAGCCTTTAAACAGAGCATTGTCTGCTCAAGAATTTTGACTTGACTGGTTTTCATCATTTTTTCTTTCATTCAGTGTATTATCACTAACGGCAGATCTCTTTATAATGAGCAGCTAAAATAATTTTCTAATCGGATAATGAGAGATTAATATGGCGTCACTGTGATTAACCTCCAACTGTGGCTGTTATAAACTGTGTGCGCAGTAAACCAAGTAGCCTAGCTTAGACAATAGACAGAAGACAATACAGTTAGAATCTACTGAATACATTAAGGATTGATCATCTGAATATTGTTAAGCTGGAAATTATAGGGCTTTCTTTGGTTCCTTTGTGTGCACAGGGTGGTAGAAGAAAATAAAAATAATTTCTCTGGAATTCAACAAAAGATAATTCTTCAAATTCAACCTGGGCCAAACACTCAATTTCTGCAGAGCTTTCAGATTTTCAGTAAAAAATATATTCTGTTTTCTGTTGAATTAATTAAAACTGAACCCAATTTCTGTGAAATTAAATTATTTCTAAAGACCATACTTCACTATTCATTTAATAGAACAATTTCCAAATATATTTAAAAAAATATATTTGAAGAACTGAATATAGTTCCTGTGAAATAAAATACATGTATTCGAAAAAAAAAAACATTTCCATGTGTAAAATAAATTGTAATTTTATTAAAATTTATTATTTTGAAAACTTATTTTTTAAATGATAAATAGTAACACATTTTTTTGCTGAATTTGTTAACATTAAGATAAACATTATTATGTAATGATTCTCATAAAATCTATTTCCAATTTTTGTGTTACAATTTTATTGTAAATGATTTTAGCTTGATTTAATTTTCACTGACAAGACATTTTAGTTGTTTTGTATGACATTTATTTTCACTGAATTTGGTGAGTTGAATTTAAAACATAGAAAAAAAAAATCACTGGATTTTGTTTTCCATTTTTTCAGCATAAATAGTGAAAAAAAAGTACTAGTACAGTAAATTAATTTTTTGTTTGTTTTGTCAATATTCATTCAATCTGAGCATTAGATAAATATACTTTATTTTTTGCTGAAGGAATAATTCATTGAAAATAAAATCCAGTGAAAATACTTTTTTTCCTAAATTTAACTTCAACTCGTCAAAAATACCGGTAAGTAAAAATAAATTCCATTTAAAATACCCAAAATTCAGCGAAAATTAATTCCAGCTAAAATAATTTATTTTACAGTAGTTGTATGAAAGTTATAGTGTTTCAAACCATCTCTCTATTTTATGCATTATAGTCTATCTCACCTTGAATTTATTAGTCTATCATTAATCTTTCAACATTATTGATTTGATGACAAGTGACTGTATTTTGTTAAAATAGAACAAAGCTGTTGTTTGTTGTGTTGATTTGTAATGCTTACTATTAGAATATCAATATGTGGGTAACTATGTGTGTTCATGGAAGTCATTACATCTTTTAACTATGCAGTCAATATTTATTATTAATGCTGACAGCATTACAAGTACTAGACACAGTGCATGTTATCAACTGTATCCTGTTGATATCCCTGTATGGTTGTAATTCATTGCTGTCATCTTTGTGTTTTCTATCATTTTAGTGTGTTTAAATGTCTTGTCTGTATACTTTAAACATCCCATAAAACTATTGACTCTACACTTTTACATGTTATTGGGTGTAAATGCCAGTGCTTGTCAATGGATAAATATAGTAATCATTGCAGTAAAATTAAATGTACTCATTTCATATGAGGTGTCAGAATTGATGAATAACCATGACTGGAAACCAGTAGTGAGATTGTAAATAATCCCTGTACCTAGGTTACTTATTCTGATACTTTCCATGGGTATTGTGCTATAGAACTGTATTAATGTATAATATAATACATTCATTTTTATCATAATTTGTTGGGAAAAATAGTTGTGTAATTCTTTCAAAGATGAAGTTGTACCAAAAATACCAGGATGTGTGACCTCTTGAAGGTCATGCATGTGACCTTAACATCATGGGGTCAGGGCATGTTGGGCTTGTCACTATACAATGTATTACCTGTAAAGAGTTAACCTTTTCACCACCAGATTTTCTCACCTAAATTTTTCTGAAGTTTTTTCTTGTATTATTCAGTATTTCTGGAACCCTAATTTTGAAGCCAACAGACAAAATTTCAGTTTTTAGTCAAACAAAACTAGCTATTTGTCCCTATCTTTTAAAGGAAAGACTATTTTGTGATGAAAAGAGGGAACTGGTGGTAAAAAGGTTAACATGCATTATTATGTATACTTGCTTGGGTAATCAATAAAATTAAAATGAAAGTATGTATTTCTGTGACTCGCATACTGCCCTGTTGACCTGGTATACAATGGATCTAAAAATATTTTCTGCAATTTTAATTTACAAGATGTCGCCACTTCAGAACAGCCTCCACCCAAAATTAATTTTAGGGTAATTTTCTGATGTAGAGATTGTTTGGGTCCAAAAGGCTGAATAAACAAATGAACATCGGTACAGGATATACATCTTTATACATTTACAATATTATTATGTAAAATCTTGTGCCAACTAGAAGAAGAAACATTTTTGTCACTATGTTTTCAATCATATGGATACTGTATTACATGTACTGGTAGTTTCAAAAGAATTCTATCATTCATAATGAAATCTGTCTGCTACCATATGTCCTCAGTACATGTTGTATTGACAGCAAAAGCTTTTTCAATTTTGATTAACTTGGTCAAAACTCAAATCTGAAAGATATGGTGTTTGTGTTGTTTATAAATTACTTCTATTTAAGTCTATTTATTGTTTTCACTATATTAAATCCCATCATGCATTGCTGTTTGAATTTAATTTAGCTTCTTGTGTGCACTAAAACACAACTAATCTTAACTAAGTACGTAATGTTTCATGTTTGAAGTTCACTCGACTGCAACCTGAGTAAAGTAGTTAAAGAGTGGCAGTCGTCATGCCGCGTCCTGTTCGATATGAGACTCATAGCGACGTGTAAAATACATTGTTTATTTACATAAAATTCGAACACGCGCTGTGAGACGACCACTGCGCTTTAACTAAATCTAATCAAAAATGCTTAACGTCAAATATTGATTTTGTAATAATAAGTCCTTCATCGATTTGATGACCCCCTAAGATGCTAAAAACTTGATCACAGCCAAATCTATAGACTGCTAGGTGATGACCAGATATTGTGATGCAAATATCTTGCAAATAGTGTAATTGCTGCATTTTATAACAGTACACATATTGACATGTCAAAGGCTTCCAACAAAAATTGGTTGTCAATACAACTTTGTGTTTTGGAATTCCATTCATTGGTTCATTGATTTGTCAGCGCTCAGTAAAAGCTGCCACTTCCACATTTTTTGATTTTCTTTGCATTTATACATATTTATAAACAAAGAATAGAATTGTTCAATCTTGACCACAAGTAATATGACTGCTCACATCTACAGGTGGTAGACATTGTTATTACCATCATTGTCATCTCAGCTGCCTTGTCAATCCCAAAACACACACTCAAATTCCTAAAAAACGGCCCCTTAAGGCAGGTGATGACTGACAGACTTTCTTGTGACCTCATTCACAGTTGGGGGATTCTATCATCATACTAGTGTCAGAGTTCTCTTATGAACTAACATGCCAGTTCATCTCCGGTTAGACATGCTTGACTCTACAGACTGTCTCAGTGTGGTAATTAATTGGGAAAACTTACAATGTTCCAGTTTTATTTGGACATGCTTCACTTTGCATTGGTTACTTAGCAGGAAGGACCATTCAAACTTTTAGCCATTAAAGCATGCACAATGTGTACCTTATGAAAGCTAGGTTTTAATATTGCTGGCTGTTCATGTATTATGCAACGATACTACACAGGCCATACAAATTACCTTCAAGGCACAAA